TATTTATTTTCCCCCCAAAGCCCCAGTAGATAGTTGTATGTCATAGCTGCACATCCTTCTAGTTGCTGTATGTGGGACGTGGCCTCAGCATGGCCGGAGAAGTGGTGCGTCAGTGTGCACCCAGGATCCGCACCCATGCCACCAGCAGCGGAGCGCGCGCACTTAACCGCTAAGCCACGAGGCCGGCCAAAATATTCTGTTTTTTTTTATAATTTTATTTATTTTTCCCCCAAAGCCCCAGTAGATAGTTGTATGTCATAGTTGCACATCCTTCTAGTTGCTGTATTTGGGACGCGGTGTCAGCATGGCCAGAGAACTGGCGCGTCAGTGCGCGCCTGCGATCCGAACCTGGGCCGCTAGCAGCGGAGTGCGCACACTTAACCACTAAGCCACGGGGCCAAGTACATTTTAATTTATCTAAAACAATAGAATCAGAGAGTAAAAATTCTAAATTAGTAGAGGGAAAAGCGAAATAATAGAATTAATTAAAATAAAATTAATAATAAAACTATAAAATTTAAAAGAAGGCAAGAATGGGTAAAAAGAAATGCAGAACATCTGGAAAGAATCTAAATTAAGATAAAGTTAAGTCTATCATGGAGCTTACATGCTAGTGGAGGAAACATACAACTAACAAGCAAAACCAATAAATAAGTAATTTCATGTAGCAGTACATGCTGTGAAGAAAATCAAATAGGGTCAGGCATTAGGTGGTGCCTGGGAGAAGACTGTTTTCAGATAAGGGAAGATCTGAGAGAAAGAGAGAGGAAGCAAGACTCCAAGGTTTCTGTCTTGAGCAAGAAGAGAGGTTGAGAAGAGGAGACTGAGAAGAGGCAGTCAGTGAGGCAGGAGGAAAACCAGGGTGTGGGCTGCTGAAGAAGTGTTTCAACAAGGAGGGCATGATCAACTGGGAATCTAGGAATGCCTGGTTAATTTACGGCAAACATCTTTCCCAGACCTGAAGAACACAGCTGGCAGCAGGCTCAGTAGGCAGGAGTTACCATAGTCTCAACAAACACATATAAGCCTACAGAGCAGAGTGGCTAAGTACAGGGAATCTGAAGCCAGACTACCTGAAGTTGAATGCTGACTCCATCTCTTTCTAGTTGTGAGCTGTGTGATCTCGGACAAATTATTTAAGCTCTCTGTGCTTTGGTTTCCCCATCTGTATAATGGGGATAATTTGGCACTTGTTTCCTCTGGTTGTTGTGATTAAATAAATTAGTATTTATAAAGCACTTAGAACATAGCTGGCATAAAGTAATCAACATGTCCTTGTTAAAAAGAGAGAGAAAAAGCCCTACAACGGCAAAGGTAGGAGTGACAACTTTGCTTGTAAAGTACCAACTTGCATTCTCAACAGGTTCAAGTTCGCAATAGTCCTACGTAATTGAACTAATCAGCATGACTGATAGGATAATTATATTCTGATCAAGAAACAGCATGAAATAAACTATGGTTGGACTATGTCTAGTTCTTTTTTACTGTAGTATCTTGAATTTAAGGTATATTTTCATATCAAGTTATATTTCAATTGTCATAATGAATGTCCTATTAAATGCTTACTGGTTCAGAACTCTAACCTCTTACTCTTTTCCAGTTGGATTATGCCCTTTTCTCTTTTCAATCTAAAACAACCTCAGATGAAAAATAACAATAATAAACACTTTCTGTATCTACATTAACAGAAGAAATAGCTGAATACTTTATTGGTGCTAGACATTATAAGGATCCAAATAAATAATTTTTGTGTAAAACACTGAAGTAGGTGCTTTGAAGTATTCATGAAAGTTTATAACTCTTATTAACATGAGACAATTACACAATGGGAGTATATGGCTAATGAACGATATAGTAAGTGTTATAAGATAAGACAAGGCAGAGCTCACTACTGGTTGTAAAGAAGTTACATGAATGAAGTGAGATTTTTATCTGGGTCTGGGTAAATGGAGTCATTACTGTCATTACATTTTAAGATATGCAAGGACTCAATTTATCTATAAGGTGAACTTCCTTAGGAAATTACTAGAGAAAGCACTTCAGCAAAATGAGGGAGTAAACTAAGTTGAAGATACTAGATCCATAAAACCAGGGCTCCAATACAAGAGAGGGACAAAGGGAAGTCCCAGGATGACAGTAATTCAGCAGGACTGGAGGGTTACTGCACAGGTTGGAGCAAAAGACTAGAGGAGAGGGAGGGGAAAAATGGAACTGATAGGGGATTTGATGTGTTTCATTTCATGTGAGAGATGTTTGAGGTATTGGATCCATTGAAGCATTTGGAAAAAAAAAAGCAATAGATGAATTAAAAACACCATCACTAACAAAGAAAAGGGAAAAACAAGGCAATTATTAACTTGAGGCAGACAAGTGTGAAAAAAGGAAATAATCATATCACATTACTTAATTCAGCAGTGAATGATATTTACAGTCATGATAAAGTAAATACTAACTGCCGACTTATCCAAAAACCATTACAAAACAATTTGCAGAATGGGGTAGAGAGAGGGCTAAGAGGCTTAATCCTCAACTACTCTAATTCAGAAGATAATTTCTATGCCTTTTTTTTAAAAAAAGCAACATATAATTTAGAAACAGGGAGGTAAATTCCAGTAGAAAGAGCCAAAGAAAGTTGGAAGTATTGCTCTTGAGGAGTGAGACTTCCGGTAGGGCAGTGATGGAGTGGTAGGGCAGGGACTGCTGTGTTTCATTGTAGGCCTTGAAAAAGCATTATATAGAAAAAACCTTTGATTAAAAATTAAAGGAGTGGACAGAAAAATCAAGACTTTGAAAAGCAATCATATACAGGGGCCTAGTGGAACAGGCAATAAGAACTCTATCATTCATTCACATAACAAATATTTATCAGGAACCATTCTAAGCCAGGCACTAAGCTAGGCCCCAGGAATACAATGGTGAATGAAGACATATACGGTCCCTACCGTCATGGTGCTAACGTCTACTAGAGCAGACAGACAATGAACAAGAAAATAAATACATAAAGGAAGCAGATTGTAGTAATAAGCGGTGTGAACAGAAAAAAATTAATTATTGTGATGGAAAATGGTGGTGAGGGGAAGACAGGGCAGCTACTTCAGTTAACTACAGCGAAGGCCTTTCTGAGATGAGCTGAGACTTGAAACACATGGAGCTTACACCAAGGAAGGATGTGTATAGACTCCTAGGCAGCAGTCTGGTGGGTCTAGAAACTTAGATGGCTCTAGATGAGGTTGGAGAAGTAGCAGGGCCCAGATCATGTCGCTACAGAAACAAATTTGGGGAGTCCTTAAGGTATAGATAATATTTAAAGCCATGTGTAAATAGAGCATAACCCATAACCTCATCTAGAGGAATTCTAACATGTAAGAGTAAGAGACTGAAAAGGTGGGGCCTGAAAGGAAAGGCACAGCAAGGAAGTCTAAAAACTTCCCCAACAATTCCCTAACATTTTTGTCACTTTTCTAAAACTGCCCTATAGGTTGTTATTTAGATAAAGTGCATTACAATTTAGTTTCCAGATTTTTGCGTCAGTTCTGGAGATACTTGTATCCTGGAAAAACCAATTTACAATTATCTAGAAAGTTATTTCCTCTTCTCCACTTGAAGTTATACCAGCGTGGCCCAGCACCTTTGTCCGAATCATAGCCACGGGGTCACCCTCTGTGCTTCTGTGGGGTGATCCGAAATAGTGCTAGGATTTCAACCGAGTTGTCATCGCGGTTATCCCGAAGACGCTACCCCCCGCCCCACTTTAAGAGTAAACACCACACCGTATTGCAGTGTCGGTGTAGTAAGGAAATGGAACAGGTTGCCATGCCCGCTGCCTAGGGCGGAGCACGGAGCGCAGTGCCTGTCACCGGCAACGTGATGCGGTTCCGCTGCTTTGGGGAACCCAAAGATTAGAATCTGGGGAGTCATGGCGGCGGGCGGCGCTGCGCCAGGTAAATCAGCAGAGGGGCAGGGCCCGGGTCTCGCGGGTAGTCTCAGAAAACGGGGGCCAGAAAACAGATGGGAGTCCAGGGAGGGAGTGAGGGAGGCAGAGGCAGCCGGAGGCGGCGGCGAGATTCGGGACACAAAGCGCCTTCCCGGAGGCCCGGCCTGCTCCGGTCCGAGGGCGGCCGACGCACCGCCTCCGCGCGCCCCCGGACGTCGGCCGTTACTGCTTCCGAGGTCACTTCACCCGGTCACGTCTTTGGGACGCAGACACGCCACGCGCCTGCAGCAGCGGACGAGCCAACCAGCTGGCAAACCTCGGGGCGAATGATGCCGCTCCGTCTATTGCTCCGCTCAGTGTTTACAGACGCGCGCGGGGCGCGGCCGAGAGCCCAGGAAGCTTGGCTCTCCTGGCCAGGCCCGCCCGTCGCCCCCGCCTCGCTGCTCGGGGCGCCCCGGCCGCCGTCCAGCGCTCGTAGCCGGAGCCGAGGCTGCCGCGGTGCCAGTAACATTGGGGCCCGGGCTGGAGGAACACGCTTTCCAAGGCGTGGGGAGGCTGCGACCGCGGCCGCTGTCCCCGCGCCTGCCTCGGGCTCTGGGAGGGGGCGGGCCACAGAGCGGACCCGCCCGGCGCTTGGGCGATGGGGAAGCTGGGAGGGCGCGCAGCCCATAGGGCGCGGGAGCCGGTCCATTCGGGCTCCCTCATGGGGGATGGGGGGTTTCTATGGTGTGTGTTTGGGGGACACCCAAGCTGCCCCCCTGCGTTGGACCCGTGCGCTGAGTTTGGAAAGGTTAAAAAGGCTCGGTAGTTTCCCACCCAAAATCTGCTTTCTGAGAAGGGTTTCCAGCCCCTAATTTGAATCCCGCCTCCCCTCTCAGCCACAACTGTGGGCTCGTCCAAGAGGCGGTTGGGGGTGGGGCGAGAGTTACTGGCGCGAAATTTAAAAGTTTGTGTGTTCCCGCGGTTGTGCTCACGCAGCGCTCTCTTGTTCCCTCTGCTATGCCCTGCTCTGAAGAGGCCGGCGCCATCACCCCCAGCAAGCGGGCCCGGCCTGCAGAGGGGAGCGGCATGCGGCTCCGGTTTACCCGACTCTCGGAGCATGCCACTGCCCCGACCAAGGGGTCCGCGCGGGCCGCGGGCTATGACCTGTACAGGTGAGTAAGGCCCGCCGGCCGCCTGCGCCCCCCACGGAGGCCAGCCTGGTGAAGAGGCTGAGAGGGCCGCCTTCTGCCCCTGCCATCCCTGCCCCCCGCAGGAACGCCCAATTCCCGAGTTACAGAGCTCTCAGCCCTGTTAGCTTTCTTTCAGGCCCTCTGCAGCCACAGCTTGAAACATTCTCTTCAAAGGTGACAGAAACAAACGCTTTTTGCATGTATGCAGGGTTTCTGCCCTTTTTTTGTGTGGATAATTTTAGCTTGCCTCCAGCATAAATTCATTAGGGATTTGGGCAAAAAGTGTGGAATGGTAAATAAATACCGATAAATGTCCACTGAGGCGTTATTAGTTTTGCAGCATTCATTGTACCCTTTCCACGTGGAGGGCAGAGATGAGTAAGGCCAGCCTTGGCCTTCAAGGACTGGCCTGACTGTGATGCTGTGCCCAATAGAAAGAAAAGCCACGGTGGGACCCTGGGGGCTGAGTATGAAAATACCTCAGAAGGAGTAATGAGGGCTGATTTTGCCTTAAAGGGTTAGTGAAATTTCTGTAACTGTCCGTATTCAAGTTCGCCCCAAGGACTGGGAATTTCAGGAAGGGTCCAAATATGAAAAGCAGAGGTGTTGGTAATACTACCACCCTTTCGTTTGTACGGCACCTTTTCCTGTACTAAGAACTTTCCCATATACCGTTTTATTTAATTCTCCCCACAATCCTAAGGTATATGAGTGTTGCTTACTTTTTACAGATGAGGGAGTTTGGGAAAAGCTGAATTGATTGCCCAAGGGCTTGAATGTAGTAGAGGTTTTTTTTGTTTTTTTTTGAGGAAGATCAGCCCTGAGCTAACATCCATTGCCAATCACCCTCTTTTTGCTGAGGAAGATTGGCCCTGAGCTAACATCTGTGCTCATCTTCCTCCACTTTATATGGGACGCCACCACAGCATGGCTTGACAAGCGGTGCATCGGTGTGCGCCCAGGATCCGAACCTGCAAATCCTCGGGCCGCCGCAGCAGAGCGCCCACACTTAACCGCTGCACCACCAGGCCGGCCCCTGTGATAGAGTTTTTTGACTCTGAATTCAATGCTTTTTTCTCTTGACTACTGTGCCCGGTTCTTAGATGCATCAAGGTAGGTGAAAAGTGATAATGGAGGGAGAGGATGTTTATTACATGACTAAATCCCGAGTGTTAGGGTGTATTTTAAAGCATCCTAGGTAATTCTAATGTGAGAACTACTGGTCTAAGTCATAAGTACAGGAGAAGGGGAGAAAGGAGTGTGTGATGATAGTAAGGGAGACAAGAAAGAGAAAATTGAGATACAGGCTGTTGTAGCTGAAAGGGATATAGTTCAGTCCCTTAATTTTCATGAATAAACGTAGCGTGATGTAATTTGATTACACCATATCTGGGCACTTTTGTGAGTCTTAGGAGAGACTTCGATTTAAGGTGCTTTAAGCATCCTCCTAATAAAACACAGGTGCCTTTCTGTATACTGAAATAGACATGGAAATAGGTATTTTTAAATCTTTAAATTTGCTCTTTCTAAAAAATTAGGTTTAACTACTTGAAGAGAGAAAATTCTAACAAAATAAGTAAAAATATAGTACCGCTTTTACTAGTCTTAATTAGGGTCTCCACAGTAACTTCCAGTTCTGCTTTTTGTAAAATCTCTTACATTTCTGTCAAGGAGGGGGCTACAGTAATAGCAACAGTAGCAGCATTGGCTGGGTGGACCTTAGAGAATTGGTTCCTCAGCAGTGTCCATCTCCAGTGATTCACAGTGATCGCCTCTCTTCCTCAGCCAGTGAGGTTCATGGCCACAGCGTGGTAAGCTTGGGAAACTACCAGACCAGCAGAGCAGATGCAACACAGCTCTCCCTCCCCTTATGTTGTCCACCCATTTTCCCCTTTCCTTCTCCACATTTTCCCTAATCGCTTAGAGGATTGTGAGAATGAAATGAGTTATAGAAAGCAGTTAGGGCTGTGCCTGGCAGGCACATGGTCAGGGCTTAATGAATGTTAGCTATTATTAACAATTATTTACACTCTTTCTTGGTTCTTTATCTTCCTCTTTTCATACCATGCTGGTGAAACATACACCTTTTAAAAGTCTGCCTTTCTACCCTCTCCTGCTAAATAATTACCTCAATTTCCCAAGAAAATTTTGTTCGGGGGAGAATACATTTATGTGTTAACACCTTGTTCACCCAAAAAATTCACAGAGAATTGCTATAGCTAACTACCAGTTATTTTCTTTCACTGTCTTCCTAGTGCCTATGATTATACAGTACCACCTATGGAGAAAGCCCTTGTGAAAACCGACATTCAGATAGCTCTTCCCTCTGGGTGTTACGGAAGAGTAGGTAAGTGATTTAAGACACAGGTACCTATTTGTCAGGCTCTTCCTTGGTGATATGCTCCTTCATCGTAGTTTCATTTGGGGTGTAAATGAGGGAAGGGATATCTCTCTGCCTGTGTCCTAAAATAAAGAATTGCCATCTGTGATGGCGAATGCAGCCGTTTGAAAACTTTCATTTATGTATCTGCTTTTGCCTGTCTCTCTGCTTTTTTTTCTGATTCCTTACTTGAGCTTTTAGGAGCTCACATTGGCCTAGGAGGTTGTTCTCACAACTCCTCACTGTGAGAAAGACTGAAAATATAGGCGATTTTTAACGGGAGCTTTGTTTGCAGTGTTACTGCCATCTTGCACTTCAAGGATCGAATTGCATATGAAGTCAGATTTCTTTGTGAAGATGGTGATGAGAACCGCTAACATTTGTTGTCTAAGAGTATAGAGACGGGCTTAGGATAATGACATGGCATTTTATATCACAAGAGTAAAACTTGTAACCCCTGTGGGTCCCAGGGTATATCAAGCCACTTGGCCTTTTCCCCTATGGGTTCCTTCTTTGGGGTGTGAGGGGAAGGGATACTCTTCACTGCAGCAGAGGAGCCTCCTCAGAGTGGGAGGAGCTGGGAGAAAATGGAGTGCAAATCAACAGGTTTGACTTCTGGAGTGAGTCAGTTGTCACTGGAGAGAGAGTTTAGAACTTCTTTTCAAGAGCATAATTACTTTCTGGCTAACTTCAGAGTAAACATAAAGGAGCCAATGGAACTGTGACCCTCGAGGGGCGGGGGTGATGGCTAGACTACCACTGTCTTGTTAGCCATGAGGGTGAGAACAGCTAATACTTTGGCCTTTAAAGAAGCGAGATGAGCTCTCTCTTCATCGCTCTTTGGCAGCATTGACTGAATTTTTAGTGTATTTTGGGGGGACAAATCAGGAGATGGAGTAAAATAAAAGTAAAGGCAGGAAGAGACAGCATTTATTAACAAAGTGCCTGATTTAAGTTATTCTGTAATAAAATACTAGAAGTTAGGATAGTTAATGGTAGCCCTGATGCTCAAGTCAGCAATTATAAGGTATAAACTTAGCATTTTATTTTTTTTCATTTTAAGAATAAAAAGCATAGTAAGAATAAAAAGCTTAGTGGAACTGAGTTTTTAAGGTTGAGTTTTTGGCATTTCGCTTGCCTGATATTAGCCCTTTTACCTTACTCTGGTTCATTGGTTTCATACAGACGTGTCTTGGCATCTGAATCATGAGTAGAGGTCCCAAGTTCTAGGCTAAGCTCTGCTACCCTTTGTTTAGGCCTATGCCTGTCTCTCTCTCTGCCTTCTTCCCATCTACACTGCAACATGCTCAGAACTCCCATCTCAAAACAAGTCCTCTCCTCAGTCCTGTGTCCCTGCCACCCACAGTCCTCTTGTGGCCAGACTTCCTGACAGAGTTGCCGTTGGTTGTCCTCCCTTGCTTACCTTTCAGTTCACTCCTGAGTCCACGCCACACCACCTGAGATCTTCAACTGACCGCAGCCCTGTGGTAGTGATTCAAGTTGGTTTTGAATTAAACCCTGTCAAAATTTTCTAAACTGTTCTTTTCTACTTTGATAATACAGTATGATAAATACATTCTTTAATTTAGAACCATCTGCTAAAGTTAAGATGAAGATATAGATGTTATAGGAGCTGAGAGTGACATGCTTAAATTGTATCATTTATACCCAATATTGCCCTTACCCCTTAAAAGAGCCAATTTCTCCTTTTTTTTTTTTTTTTTGTGAGGAAGATCAGCCGTGAGCTAACATCCACGCTAATCCTCCTCTTTTTGCTGAGGAAGACCAGCTCTGAGCTAACATCTATTGTCAATCCTCCTCCTTTTTTTTCTCCCCAAAGCCCCAGTAGATAGTTGTATGTCATAGCTGCACATCCTTCTCATTGCTGTATGTGGGACGTGGCCTCAGCATGGCCGCAGAAGTGGTGCGTCGGTGTGCGCCCGGGATCTGAACCCGGGCTGCCAGTAGTGGAGCACACGCACTTAACCACTAAGCCACGGGGCCGGCCCCCATTTCTCCGTTTTGTTTTTCAGCTCCACGTTCTGGCTTGGCTGCAAAACACTTCATAGATGTAGGAGGTAATATATTTACATTTTTATTCTGTATATATTTGCAAGTATTTACTCCGTCTTTGCTTAAGAGGTAGTAATCAAATGACAAATTTTATTTTTATTTTCAGGAAAAGGAAATGATTTTTGTTGTGTCTTGTCTTTTAGAAATTTCCATCTCTGCAGTAATAGATAACTATGGTATAGTTTCAAATGCTATTTGGTTATGTCTAATTTTTAAATGACCATTATGTTATTTTACTAATAGGCTAACTAGACACTATATTATGGGGGGTAGGATTTTTGCCTTGGTTTAATGATAATCTGCATTTAGTCCAAAAATGACTCTATTCATAGAAGAAAGTTTGTTATTATAAGGTAAGGAAAAGCTTTTATGTCATTTTTTTAAGCAATTATATTTTGCTTAATTATTAATAATTCATAGTAATTAAATAATTATTAAATAATTGTTTAAGCAAAAGTTTCTAGAAAATGCAGGTTTATCTTGTAGTAAGAATTTTCTTACCTCCATAAGAAAGCCAGCCATATTTGGCAGAATATAAAAAGAGAATCTTTCCATAAAGTCAGAAGAGAAAACTGCTTCCCTGTCTACATTTCTTGCTGAGTAAGTCCTCAGTGGCTCCTCTTTCCCTTATAACAAAGCCTTACTCCTCTCCCAAAGTCAACAACTTCCTCACAGGGGTCTTTTCATGAAGGAGCCCCAGTCTCCTCTGCTAGCCACCCTTGCTGTGGGATCGCGAACTGCCCCTTACTGTAAGGAAATTCTCACCTTCCTAATATGGCCTCCTTGCTTGGGATCCCCTCATTACTGGGGTATGGACCCCACTGACAGGGTCCTCATGTCCTGACCCCTTTTTCTCCCCAGTGGTAGTGAGTGAGCGCTTCACTAACAAGACATCTTGGCGCTCTGCTAGATTCTCTGCCTCTGGCCATTTTTACAAAGCAACTTTTTAGCAGATGAGGAAACTGGTTCAGAGATGAGCCCAAGTTGACATGTTAAAAACTGGAATCTCCATCCATATGATCCCTGTCCCCCTGTTCTTTCCATTGCAATTAACTGCTGTGGATCACCCTGCCCCTTCCTCCAGCAACCAAGCACTGACCTGAGTTAGCTCACGGTTACATGCACTGCAGGGATTAAGCACTGGATGAGGCATGTCCTGGCCTGTCTCTGGCCTGCCCTTCACTGCCCCCATGGTGTCACTAGGTGGTGCTGTGCGGCAAGACAGAAGCCCAAAACTAGTTCTTAGACACTGAAGAGGGGCTGAGTCTGACACAGCAGGGATGGACAGCCCACTCAGGTTGAGGATTGCCTGGGCTCAGTTATGCTTGATTTTCAAAAGTACTTTTCCAAGGTCAAGTGTTGTAATTTAGGACTGTAACTTAAGGATATAAAAAATTGTATATATTTTTAAAGAAATTTCAAAGAGTTGTCAAAGGAACATGGGCTTTGGAGTGACAACTGGATTTGGGTTCCAGCTTTGTCACCAACTAGCTAGTTATTACTTAACTTCTCTGAGCCTCAATTTCCATCATCTGTAAAATGAAACTGTGTGTGCTTGCCTCTGAAGGGCGAGAGGATTAAATGATAATGTATGTAGAATATCTAACACTGTTTGGCACATATGAGACCCTGTAAGTTGTATTTTCTGTGCCCTAGGGACTTCACAGATTTTTGTATGTGTGTGGAAACTTTTTTTCTTTGACTTTGTTAGTAATTTTTGCTCTGTTTAAAACAACCGTCTGAAAAAATTCATGTAAAAGAAATGGAAAGTTAGTTTGCCTGGTGGTTGGTGTGGTATTATTCATAAAATCACATTGTGGTGTGTTCTTGGATGCAGAGTATCTTAAAAATGTCTCTTAGGCACAAGTTTATCATAGTTGGCCACAGTTTTTATTTCAGAAGAGAGATGTTGTTAGAAATCCCAGGCAGTAAATAAGGGTCAAAGGGAAAAGTTGAATATGCAGGATTCCGTTCAGAATTCACATCTGGTAGGTGTGGATAGTTTTCACTAAAGAAGGTTTCCAACAAATGACATGCCAAAGTCTTGACACAGTAGAACTTTTGCCTGAAGTCAGTTAATCACTCTGCCAGTTCCAATGCATGATTTTTCCAGTGATAACTTCAAAATACTTTCTGCTTTCTCATGAAGAGAAATATCCCTGATGCTTATATCCCTTATGTAGAAAAAGAGTAAGTCTTGGGTTTTTCTTGAAGGTCAAATCGCCTTTGAGTAATAAATGAACTTGGAACTACTGGATTTTTTATACTATTGGCATTCATGCTAAAAAAAATTATTAATTGAGGGCCTTTTTTTCTGCCATACATTTTAATTGACTTCAAACAACTTCATTTCTTTTTAGTTAGTTAAAAGCTTTTCATGTTTCTGTGTGCCAAGCATAAAATCTTGGTAGATCACCTGGCTTTGCAGAATTCAAGACACCCAGCCATTTGAGTACTCCTGATAGGACTGCTTTACAGATTTCTAGCAAAGGTCTTTACAAAAAGAGAGTGTTTTTGTATGGTAGACGATACCATAAAGTGAAAAAATAAATACTTGCAAGTCATGAAAAAGAGTTAAATACCCAAAGAGATAAAAAAAAATCATAAACAAAATATAGAAGAGGACATGCAAATGTGCAACATATGGAGGAAAACAGTCCAGCCTCACTAGTCATCAGGGAAACGCAAGGGAAAGCCACGAGATACCATTTTTGACTCATCATACTGGCCAGAATTAAAAAGATCACTACCACCTGGTACTGGCAAGGCCTTTGGAAATGGGCATTCTTAAATATCGCTGATGGAAGTTTGAACTGCTACACGTTTTTTGCAAAGTTATCTAGCAATATCCATTAAAATTTGAAATGTACACACCCTTTGACCCAGGAAAGTGCTTTTTGGAACCCATTTGATGAGAATAAACAGCACGCATCCACAAGGACGTATGTAAGGACTGCTTCGTTTATGAGAGCAGAATGTGAAAGCAACCCAAGTGTCTGATAATATGTGAGAGAAGAGTTACACGGAAATGCTGGTACTGTATTTCCATATCTTGGAAGTAAAAAGAATGAGTAAGATTTATATATAGTCATCTCAAAGGATGCGTATGTTATTTAAGTGGAAAAAAGAAAGTAATATGTACAATATATTACTGTTAACATTGACTACCTAAGGGAAGATAGGGGAACATTATTGGCTTTTGCTTTATATGTATTTGTACTATTTGGATAATCTAAAATTTTTCTATTAAAGTAGAAACAAAAGAGTTCAGAAGTCAGTCTACATTGTCTTTAACTCATTCTAGATAAATGAGCACTAGCTGTACATCAGATCTCCCAGCATGGAGAGTGCATGGTCTTCTGTGGTCATTTGCATGGAATGACATGTTCTATGGAAGGGTTTCTTCATTACATCTGCAGCCAAAACTTTCTTGTCCATATAGATAATATAGAAAACAGCTAGTCCCATCTTTATATCAGTTCTTTCAGTAAGTATTAAGGACGAATTTAATAGTCAACTGGCAATGGGAAAGAAACCAGGCTTCAGTATTCTTTGAATTAGTCAAAGTTTTGTTGCTCTGCAACTGGGAAAGAATAGACAGCTTGCTTCAGTCTAGATGTGATAGGAACTACCTCCGCTGCCTTTCAGCCACTTCAATACTCACCTTTCTCACTGTGAAAAAGTTATTTATCTTTAATTCAAACTCTTAGAAATGCTGTGTCAGGAATCTTTTAAGAAGTATACACATTCAATTTCACTTATCCCTAGTAATTCATTCATAAAGCACAGGAGTTCATTTAAATTTTTAGTGTAATCCACTGCAAAAATCTAAAATGTTAGTTTTTCTGAGTATTTTTCCCCATGGTCAAACTTTTCTTTTGATTTGCCTTTTTTTTTTTTCCTATATGAGAAAATTGAAAAGGAATACTTACCCTTGTTCTGTTAAAAAAAAAATTTTTTTTTTCAGTGGACCTTCAAATAATTATGAGTCTGGCCAATGGGCATTAGTACCCATTGAGCTAAATTCCTGATTGTTTTTATTTCCTTTTTTTTTTTTTGATAAGCATTTTTTTTAGGAGATAGGATGTTAGTAAGATGTAAGACGTAACATGGAGCTACATTTAATTAGGTTCACATGAATCCTACCCAGCATTTTACAAAGTGAGAAAAAAGAATTAACATGTATAAAAGGAAATTGGCAGTGGAAGGGACACGGGCGATGGGGAGTGACTGTAATAGGGGATTTCTTTCTGGGGTAATGAAAATGTTGTAAAATTGGTTGTGGTGATGGATGCACAACTCTGAATATGCTTCTGTTGAATTGTGAATTATGTCTTAATATTAAAAAGGGACATGAGAAGCTCTGGTGCGCCTATATTATCTGTCCTTGTGTTTATGGAAACATTTTAAATTCTTGGCCCAAAGAATTCACCAGGGTAAGAAGTCTGGTAAATGTACCTCTCTGGGCCAAGGCAAGGCCCTGGCTCAGGTTTCTCTCCTACAAAGATATGCTGCCCTTGTGTTTATAATCTCAAGCAGGTACTAATTACACACTTCTATGATAAGTGTACTCCTCATTAAGCTTATGTGCTAACGTTCTGAGAGATCATGCTCTAAGAAAGCATGGTGGCTCAGGTTAAAAGGAGAGGAAGAATATGAACTGAAAAATTCAGCTCCATTCTTATTATAAAAATGGAATGTTCTGATATTTGCTAGACTGCTGCTTAACAATGTCAGCATTGACTTATTCTACTACAGATCTTCAGGCTTTTTGACATTTTTATTGATGACAATCGTATTTCAATCTGGATATTAGTGAGAAGCTGCTACCAGGAAAAGCCTTTAAAACCCAAGTCATAATTTCCTCCTAGTCTTTTTGGCAGATGTGCAGCAGGTAGAGGGGGTTTGGAGAGAGCTATTCGGGATGACTGTCCGAGATAAGTGCCTGCTCCTAGTTTAGAGTAGGAAATGGTCACCATTTGTAAGGGTGACAGGTTGGAAAATTAGGACCATTTTCTAAATTCTTATTTGCATTTTAGTAATAACATTTCCTAGTTTTGAGACTTGACGTAGTACCAGAGCAAGATTCACTTATTCAGTTGTAAGGATAAAAATCTTAACAGCTACATAAGAATGATTTTGGGGTAATCTTATACCCTCAGTGTTTTGGTAGCATTAGTCAAACTCATTATTTTTCTTTTCTCCAGCTGGTGTCATAGATGAAGATTATAGAGGAAATGTTGGTGTTGTACTGTTTAATTTCGGCAAAGAAAAGTTTGAAGGTATGTTAAATACAGACAGTGTGAGTTATATATGTGTAAACCACACTGACTCCTCTCATTCTCATTGCACAAAGCAGAAGATAGAGATGCATCAATACAGTGTCAGTAATAGACTGTTTTGTTTGTTGTTTTCCTTTGAAGTCAAAAAGGGTGATCGAATTGCACAGCTCATTTGTGAACGGATTTTCTATCCAGAAATAGAGGAAGTTCAAGTAAGTATCATAAAAGCCAAGTAGAGAACGAATGATGTAGCATCTTAAGTGAAGAAAAAAATATAATTTTGAGGACTTAATGTGCTGTATGTAACTAAGTAGTAGCATATGTGACTAGTCCATTTTAAGCAAAATTAAAATGTTAGTTTTAGAATTTCTTGAAATGTTTTTCATAGCTATTGTATAGTATTACTTTGGATAATCATTTATACTGTGAAATTCTAGTATTTCCTTAGCTTTTTTGAAAATTATCTGATATTTTAATTTATGGGGCTTTTTAAAAATTTAATTTTCTTTTTGTAATCTCCTTTTTGAAAAGATGTGATAGTAGTAATAAAAATTACAAATTAGCACCTGGAGAGATGTGAAAGAGGATCTGCAATTAACTATATGGCTTACCTCTTATGTCTTTTCAGGTTTTGGATATCACTGAAAGGGGTTCAGGAGGTTTTGGTTCTACTGGAAAAAATTAAAATTCCAAGAAGAGAAAATGAGAAAACGTATTTTTTTCCTAGAGTTTTTGCTTAAAGCATTTTTGGTGTTTTGTAGTTCTGTAAACTTAATAGCTTTAACTTGTAAAAATATTTGGTTCTCTTATGATCAGGAAAAGGGTACCTCTGTTGAGATCACAGAGAAACATACTTTTTTGTTTTTCTCTACATTTGGTGGTTGTAGAAATCTTTATGATGACCTAATGCAAACAGTTTTTTTAATCAAATGTACATCATTTACAGATCCAAAAAAGACTGTATTATTTAATTCACTAAATGCTACCCCTTCAGCGAGTTATTTTAATTGCTTTGTAAATCATAAGCAGTGCCTTTCATTCAGTAAATCTGAATTCTGTCACAGATGCTAATTATTGCATAAACTGAACTAAAAGATGATAAAAAGAAGTTAAAGGTACTCTGTTCTTCTCTTCATTGGTCTAAAACAATTTTTTTTTCATTTAAGATGCTTTGTGAAGGTGGGAAGAGGAGGATCCTCAGTTTATTTTTTCATTTTTCTAGTTTTTTTTTTAATCCCTTTCGTAGACCCATGTTTGACTGGGTAGAGGTATGTTTGTGAAAGGAAATGTAATTTGGGAATTTACAGTTGGTTTGTTCCTCTGAATTTCATTCCATCAAGTAAATTGTGCAAGTTGTAGTTATATGAGTTTCCTTCACTGAAGTAGCAATAGGCTGTATCCAAGAAATATGCAAGTTAATAGGGATAAAATGGATGTAATGATAGCTTTACACTGGGTTTGTCCATGGCAGGTCCTTTTGAGTAAATATGTTTAAGCAGCATTTCACTGCAGACGGGGCTGATTCTGTGGATTAGCTTGGTTAACATCTATTGCAGTCTTCTAGGTGTGCTTTCCTCTCCTGTATTTCCCAGACCCCTTTGCACCAGGGCTTTGGGTGTCACAAAGGCTTTGTCAATCAGGCGCTTTAGTGTGAGATTCCTGAGGCATCGTTTTTGCGAGTGTGGGTCATACAGATTCAGTTCTTCTGGAGTTGGCAGCTCTCTTGGCTGCCCAGTTCCTAGAAGGTCAGGCGAGAGTTTGTTTCTTCTGTCCTCCCAGTGATTCTCTGGGCCATTTATACTCTGCAATGCAGTATTTTCCATCTGTGGGCCACAATTCATTAGTGAGTCATGAAATCACCTCAGTGGGTCATAACTAGCGTTTTAAAAAATTGAATAGAAGAAACAAGATAGCACATGTCAGATGGGTAAATGTTGTGAAGATTGTTTGAATTACATGTTTATGTGTGCATGTGTGTACTGTTATGATATAAATTATTTCTGTGGTGAATAAAATTTAAATAAATTCTTTTCAGCTAAACTAGCCAGAGTGGATTCTGTTCTCTGAACTCTGACCAATACATAGTAACAAGTGAGTAAGAACAAATAGTATGATGTGACTACCAGGAGGTATGGCCTCAGCTTACACTGTTAATGTTAGTTACCGCTATTGAAAGTCCACTATATTAAGCACTTTTAGAAGCTGCTCATTTCTTTCTCATAGCATACCTGTGGGAGAGTAGATAAAACATTCTTTTTTTGTAGATGACAAAAATAGGCTCAGAGACATTTGGTAACTTGCTTTGGATTTCAGCTAATAATGACCACTATTAAAACTCAGGTCCTATGGCTTCAAAGCCCATGTTCTTTGTAGTATCTTCAGTCTTCCAAGTGGTAGAGAGAATACAGAATGGAAGCGATGGTTAATGCAAGTCCTCTAGTTTGTTCATACCTGGAATGTATTTCCATCTGGGCACCGTAGTTAAAGGAAGATGCTCAGAACTGAAGCTCCTCTGAAAGTTAGAGGCGTGGTGTTGAGAATCCAAGGAATGTGGAGGGAGGGAGGGGTGGCTAGAGGAGGCCCCTGGGATATGACAGATGTTCTTAGATTTTAAAGGCTCAGGGAACTGTACGTGAACTGAGGGACTGGAATTAGGGTCAGTGGATTTAGTCTATAGAAGACGGTGCCTGTGCGATGATAGAAAATACATGTGCATCTCTGCCCCTGGTTCCTGGCACGGAGCTCCTAAAGCCCTTGCAATTCCCAAAGTAGTAAGAGCACTAGGACCATCTCTTGTTCTAATGTTGGTCTTTAACCTTTGTTCCTGACACAGCTCCTGAAACCCTTGTAATGTCGTGGGTGATAGGAGTGTCTTTTGTCCCAAGGAGATGACTCTGGGTGGGCTCCTGGATGAGGGCTGGTCACCAGAAAGACCAAGCCATGATTAGAAGCCTGGAATTTTCAGCCCTGCCCTCCATTTTCTTGAGAAGGGAGAAGGGCTGAAAATGGAGTTGATGATGATCATGCTTATATGATGAAGCCTCCATAAAATCCCAAAAGTACAGGGTTTGGAGAGCTTCCGGGTTGGTGAACACATGGAGGCGCTGGGAGAGTGGTGCACCCAGACAGTGCACGGAAGCTCTGCGTCCCTTCCCACATACCTTGCCCTATGCATCTCTTCCATCTGGATGTTCAACTCTATCCTTTATCATATCATATCCTTTAATAAACTCGTAAACATAAGTAAGTGTTTCTGAGTCCCGTGAGCCGCTCTAACAAATTAGTCAAACCCAAGGAAGGGGTCTTTGGAATCGCCAGTCTATAGCCAGTTGGTCAGAAGCACAGGTGACAACCTGGACTTGTAATCAGCATCTGAAGCTGGGGAGGGGGGCAGTCTTGGACTGAGCCCTTAACCTTTGGGATCTGACACTATCTCCGGGTAGGTAGTGTCAGAACTGAGTTCAATTGTAGGACATCCAGCTGGTGTTGCAGAGAGTTGCTTGGTGTGGAGAAAGTCATCACATATTTGGTGATGAGAAGTGAAGTGTTTGATGTGAGTAGTAAGAGACTCACAGGGAAGAAAGACATAGTAGGGAAGAACTGGACTTTTCACTACATAGAAAGGAAAAAAGCTGTTTTTTTCCTTTACAGTGGCATAAGGGCAGACCCATGGAACTTCCCTAAAACAGCAAATTGAATGAAAAAAGCAAAGACTGCCATATGGGAGAGTATAAAACAGTCTGTTGGGGTGGGATTATTGGAGACTATTTTATGTTATATATACAAAATTTGAATATTTTATAGTATTTTTACTTCATTTTATTGTGAAATACATTTAGAAAAGTGTATAAAACAAAAGTGTATGATATAGTGAATAACTACAAAATAGAAACACCTAAGTAGTGCTCTAGATTGGTTTTCTAGGAGGTGAAAGCCCTATGCTAATAAGGCTTGGTTCCTGAGCTCCTTGCAGCTTTCTCTTCCAATCTGCTAGATTCACTTGTTAGCACAGGGAGACCAGGGAGCGTCCCCTTATAAGGGCAAGTTCTTCCTCCCCACTAGAAAGGAAACCAAAGTTTTTCACTGATGGCCAAAGAAGCATTATCTTCACATGTAGGGCTGCACCTCACGATTTTCAGATTAACTACAAATTGAATAGCAGTGAGGCAGTTTTCCTGTTTGTTGACAGTTCCGCCTCACTTGCTAACAATGCCCACTGTCCGCTCTGGTCCTTGGTACCTATAATCAGAAGAGAAATAATCAGGGAGACTCCTGCAGACTAATCTGATGCTCCATCAGTTAATTTACTTTGGTGGCTATCTGCAGAAGAAGTCACATACTAGTGCTTGGCCTAGGTGGATGAGGGGACAAGGCACCTTCCCTCCACAGTACTTCCTGCCACGTGACCATCTCCCTCCCACCTGGCGGGAGATATCAAATGATTGTTTCCTTAAATTCATTTTCCATCTTATCAATGGAAGGATGGTGGCAGGTTGGAGGGCTAAGTTATGTAGACACATGGAATTTTGTGAAGTGAATATGTCCGAGTTTGGGGTCAATGGGCCTTGGACTGTTGGAGTAATTATGTGAGTATTGAGTCCTAGTTATCACACAGAGCATTCTCAGCATGGCTCCTACCCCAATCCTCTCGCTTTGACTATCCCCAAATCACCCTTGGTCCTGTTTCTCATTTGCCCTTCTTTTCCCCTGCATCTTCAACTCCAGCTGTGGTCCCTGTTAGGGGAGGACCAATAGTTTGTACTTATGTCTTCCCCACTTCCTTTCCCTGCTGCTAAGGTCTACTGCATACTCTGAGGAATGGTGATAGACTGTCAGTCACAAGGACTGCAGATGACAGAGGAGGACAGAAATCATATGGGCCGAATTCAGTGATAATATTCATAGTAATATTTATAGATTCGGAGAGCATCCCTGGATACAGAAAAAGCTGTTCATGCAAACCCCATGCTAAGAGGTGTGTAATTCTGGTAATGATAATAGTGGTCTTTGATCAGGCCTTTAAATCCATTTTATCTTCTGTTCGTTAGGGTAAAATATATTATTTCACGTAACTGACCTCATCCTTTTAGCTGAGAAATATCCTCTAGTATTGTATCATTATCCTAAGAAGAGAGGTGAGGTTGGGAGGAATAACTTCTCAAAGGTGAAAATAAAATGCCTTTTCCTGAAAAGCCACATCTCCATTTGGAGATACATAATGTACACAGTGTTTTGACATTGCTCTTTTCCTTACTGAAAGGAGGAGAAAAAATATATAAATGAAACTGAAATTTTCACTGAGGAAATAGTCTCAAGAAGTATATGAAGAAAAAAGAAGTATACTAAAAATGATTCCCCTTATTAGCAACTAAACATGGTTAAGTTGGGAGAATTTTAAAAGATCCGGGAGGTCTCTTAAAGAAAATGTCTAGTAACTATTTATGAAAGTAAGATTATAGAGAAAATTTATGATTAACAAGTTACTAAATTATGTCTTGGTTTGATCCTAATTTTTAAAAATGGGTTTTACAGATGTGTAAGGACACCTGGGAGAATATATGCCAAAATAATGATTATCTCTGGCTGTTGGAATTGCTGATGATTTTTTCCTTTTTGCACTATCTATATTTTAACATGAAAACTATATTACTAGGTTAAGAAAAAAGCTTAAAATTTTATGGCAAAATATGTTTGTTTAATTTTGATCACATTTACTATTTTAATCAATATCTTTAATATTGAAAATATGTGGGAAAATTATGACAATGTTATAAATTTTGAAGAAAAAATATGCAAGTTGGTATAATGGAAAAGCACTAGCTTTAGGAGTTTTAGACCCGAGTTTTAAGTTCTGCTCTTTTACTAACTAAAAGATCTTGAATAAGTAAAATAACCTTACAGATACTCAATTTTCTTATCATAAAATAGGGAGAGTGCATCAGATAATCTCCAGGGTCTGTTCCTGCTCTTCTAGTCTGTTTTGCAAATTTTAAGAACAGACTGTATGGCTGTGGCAAACTACTGCCACCTGGTGGCAGTTATCTAAAGTGAGGGGGCTGTATTTAAGGTATAAAATCACCATTCATTCATTCATGCTTACATTTGTCTAGCATCTATATGCTGGGTAAGTGCCAGCATCATCATTCATTCAACTGAGTGTTTTTCTATATGATATAGGTAAAAACAACTAAGATGTGAGCTGTCACTTGCTAGCTGCATGACCTTGAGGCCACCATTTAACCTCTGAGTCTCTGTCTTCCCATTTAAAAAATAAAGATAATATCCACCTTACATTATTAGAAAATCTAGAGATGGTGGATGTAAAGTATCTCACACAGTCCATGGCAAAGAATATTTGGTATTCTTTGGTAGCAATTATCTTCAGGAAGGTTACCATCTGGTAGGGGGAATAAGACAAATGCAGAAATCTGTGCAGTTTGTGATATGCCTTGAAAAATACAGAGAAGGCACAAGGCACATTCAGAAAATGGCAAAACCAAAGTTCAAACAGACTGGAGTATAAAAGACATACTTTTTTAGGAAATTGCTGGTGACTATTCCGAAATGGTAGGTTGCAGGTCCACTCTGGAGAGTCCTAAATGCCGGGGAAGCAATGGCCCACCACAGAAGAGTTTGGGGCAAAGAGTAACATCACCAGAGCTGAGCTGTGGGAAGATTGATATTAATCTGATGTCTGTGACAATGAGGTTAAGAGACCATCATCAAAACAGCCAGGTAATGAGCACAGAGGATGGCAAAGGAAAGACGGATGGAAATGACACCGAGAAACTGCAAAAACAAAGTTGAGAATGAATCTAAGATGACTTAAGACATTGTTAGATTCCAAATCAACTACCTGAGACAAAGGGAGGCTAAGATGTGCCTGGTGTGAAAACAACCAACCACAACAGTTATAGGACTGGACTCCAGGGTTCCTGAGTCAGGGTCTAATCCCCCTTCTCCACCCAGGAAAGGTGTTAACCCAACTCTCCACTCAGGTGTGAACACTGAACCAAATATGAGGTTGG